AAGACCTGCGATGGTACGTTTTGCGCGTCGTTCTGTGTACCCTGCCCAACTTGCTCATACTAACACCCCTGTCAAGTCATGTCGCAGCACCGTAACACGATAACCTATCCCATCAGACTAGACGATCATCCTGTTTTACAGAAGTGCGTTAACGACCCTTCGTACCGAGTGATGGTCTTTTGCGCCGGGGATACTTTAGGAATTCAAGATGTCGCATTTCCTCACCAGTCAGAACTCAAGGTCAACGGCGGCGAGGTCAAGGCCAATTTGCGCGGCTTGAAGAACAAACCTGGATCTACTAGACCGGTTGACATCACAAAAGCGCTTCGCCTTCGTCCGAAATATACCAACAACGTTGAGTTCACATACGCGCTGACATCCAAGGTGAGCACCGTGCACAAGCGTTGTTACAAGCATGGCCTGACACCGAATACAGAATTTCTACCTTGTGATAAATGTTTGCAAGATAACATCTGTCGAACAGCTTGCGGAGCGCATTGCCAATGGCAAGAAGATATCGATTGATTCTGTAAAGCAAGAACGCAAGTGCCGCTCACACTATTCGTCCAGTACTCCTGAGTTATCACTGACATGCAACTAGTCAACGCCAAAGCACAAGATCCGGATGTAGTAGCAACTTCACAGGTGCTATCTCTCAAATGTCCATTGTCATACATGCGACTAGCACTCCCTTGTCGTGGGTTGAGCTGCACACACTTGCAATGTTTTGATGCCACTTCGTATCTCCAGCTGCAAGAACAAGGCCCGCAATGGCAATGTCCTATTTGCAACAAGTCCGCCACTTTCGAGCAGTTGGCTGTTGATGCGTGAGTTTATAGGCAATGATTATGAAGGGTCTTTCTTTTCTAACCTCGAGCAGATATGTCAAAGACATCCTGGAAAATACACCAAAGAGTCAGGAAACTGTGACCATCGAGCCCAATGGCGAATGGCATCTCAAGAGCACCGACGACAGTAGTCAGGGGCACACAAACGGAAACTCATCTTACGCAAATGCCTTTGACGATGACGATGACGATCTGGTAATATCAGAGGTCAATTCTATTGGTCACCGCCGTTTGGAGACGCCCAAAGTCTCTACGCCGACCATTGGTACGCCAGTAACAGCAGGTCGCGATGTATCATCTTCTGCCGGACCAAGGGGCATAGCATCTACCAGCGCCAAGCGCCCAATGGCCGCTATCATCGACCTAACGCTATCTGACGATGACGATGATGATCCGCCCCCGCCCCCAAAAAGGCAAAACACGTCGATGAACGGATACTCAGGCAACCTACCTAACAACTCTCCAATCTCGCCAGGTGATCTCGGGTATCTTTAGGGGGATGCTCGTCCTCAGGGACGCAAGAAACATAAACGGAATCGCAAGACTCTCTAGATCGAGTCTGTGGTGGCAGTGAAATATGTCCCAGGGGGGCAGTCTATATAACTGCTTGGTATTAGGGGTGTTGGTTGATGACTTTTACTTTGGCATGTTCTGGTCCGGCGTTGGAGGAGACGGAAAATGATTCCCCTGCTAATTACCAGCATTGCTATCACGGTTGTTTTTCGCGAGGTGTAAGGGAGTATTCAAAAGAAAGGGAATCAATCGTTCAGGTGGTACGTACTTTAAGATATGAGACAGGATCCAGTCTCAAACATGAAAGGAGGCAATAGAAGGACGAGTAGCCTCTTCTACATGTTCTCATTCCAAATAGGGACGTCATGGAAAGCAAATAGTACAAAGTCTGCCGACTGTCCATGTCACGAACCAATGTTATGACGATGAAGTCACATGGCGGACTGCAAAGTACTTTCACAGGAAAACGCGAGTATAGAAACGCACGAATCATTTTTCATTCATATGTATTGGCTTCAAAGAGAAATATCATCTCGAGCATGCCTTCTATCTCGCCCTCAAATCATCACATTCAACCCTAATTTTAAACCAAATTCCTATCCCATCATGACCCAATTGACTCCATAAATCACACATACTTTTTCTTATCGCTTTACCCAATTATGCTCCAATGTCCTTTCTCTTGCTAGGCACCGCGGTGTCAGCCTTCCACGAGTCAACGTTGTGGATCAGGCAAGCCTCGCCTTGGTCACGACGGGTGAGACGACCGATGCGGTACACCTTCTCACCAGCATCGGTAAGAGCCTGAGAAACGCTGTCGGCCTTTGCAGGGTCGACAGCAATGACCATACCGACACCAGAGTTGAAGGTGCGGCACATCTCGATGGGCTCGACGTTGCCAGCCTCACGCATCCACTTGAATACAGGAGGGATCTCCCATGAGCCGAACTCGATCTCAGCAGCAAGAGACTCGGGGATCATACGGGGAACGTTCTCTACGAGGCCGCCACCGGTGATGTGAGCAAGACCCTTGATGTGAGAGAGGACTGGCAAAAGAGACTTGACGTAGATTCGTGTAGGGGTGAGAAGGGACTCGCCAACGGTGGTGGACTGGTCCCAAGGAGCAGGGTCGGTGTAGCTGAGGCCAGCGCGAGAGACAATGCGACGAGCCAGAGAGAAGCCATTGGAGTGGACACCAGCGGAGCCAAGACCGAGGAGGACATCGTCTTGAGCCATGTCATCCTTGCGAGGAAGCTTGATATCAGCAGTAACGGTACCAACAGCGCAACCAGCGGCGTCATAATCATCATTCTGGTACATGCCAGGCATCTCAGCAGTCTCGCCACCAACAAGGGCACAGCCAGCTTGTCGACAACCATCAGCAACGCCCTGAACGAAGTCAGCAGCAGTAGAGAGATCCAACTTGCTGCAGCCGTAGTAATCGAGGAACATAACAGGGGTAGCACCCTGAACAACCAGATCGTTAACGTTCATGGCAACCAGATCGATGCCAACGGTGTCGTGCTTCTTCATTGCCTGGGCAATCATGAGCTTGGTGCCAACACCATCAATGGCACCCACGATAATGGGAGCTTGAGGGTAGCCAGCTTGAGACAGATCAACCTCGCCACCAAAGCCACCAATCTCAGCATCGGCGCCAGGTCGCTTGGTGCTGGCAACGGCCTTCTTGATCTTCTCGACAAAGTCGTTGCCGGCTTGTATATCGACACCAGCCTGGGCATAAGTCATGGAGGTCTGAGCAGTTGAGCGGAAAGCTCGGTGAGCGATATCCTTTCGGTAGAAAGCACCCTCAAAATCAATGACCTTCTTGTCAAGAGCGGCATAGGCAGCATCAACAGCAGCTCGGAGCGAGTCGCCAACAGCGTTGATAGCAATGACACGGCCACCAGAAGTCTTGAGACCAGTGCTGTCGAGTGTGGTACCAGCGTGGAAGATGTTGCAGCCAGCAGGAGGCGTCTGGACAGACATAGCCTTACCCTTGGGGTAAGAACCGGGGTAACCGCCGGAAGCAAGGACAACAGTGGCGCTGAACTTGTTCTCAATGGTAAGCTTGCAGTTGTCGAGGTAGCCATTGGCACAAGCAAGCATGATCTCAGCCAAATCAGTATCGGCAGAGAGAAGAGGAAGGACGGTTTGTGTTTCAGGGTCACCGAATCGGACGTTGTACTCAAGAACCTTAGGTCCCTTGCTGGTGATCATGAGTCCAGTGAAGAGAACACCACGGAAAGGCTGCTGCTCTCGTCGCATACCGGAAATGGTGGGCTCGAGAATCTCACGGTCGATGAGCTCAGTAAGCTCCTTAGTAGCAATGTTTGTAGGCGCATAGCATCCCATGCCACCAGTGTTGGGGCCCTGGTCTCCATCAAAGATACGCTTGTGGTCCTGAGCGAGAGGCAGAGATCGGATGGCGTAGCCGTCGCAGAAAGTCAGAACACTGAGCTCATCACCAATGAGAAGCTCCTCGATAACAACCTCGTCGCCAGCATCGCCGAACTCCTTATCAACCATAATTTGCTTCAAAGCAGCTTTGGCCTCCTCCTTGGTCTGGGGAAGGATAACACCCTTTCCAGCAGCGAGACCAGTGGCTTTGATAACGACGTCATGGTCAACGCTATCGATGTATGCAACGGCCTTGTTGTAGTCGGAGAAATTCTCATAAGCGGCAGTAGGAACGTTGTACTTCTTCATGAAATCCTTGGAGTAGGTCTTGCTGCCCTCAAGTCGCGCAGCTTCCTTGGATGGGCCGAAGCAGGGAATGCCAGCCTTTCGGAACCATCCCTCAACACCGTCGACGAGAGGAGCCTCAGGGCCAGGAACAACAAGGTTTACGCCCTTCTCCTGAGAGAACTTGACAAGACCAGCGAAATCCTCAGCCTTGACTGAAGAAACATTTGAGGTCTTGGGGCATCCAGCAGTTCCTCCGTTACCGGGGACAGCAAAGATCTGCTCGACTCGAGGAGACTGACTGAGCTTCCAAGCTAGGGCATGCTCACGGCCGCCGTTGCCGATGAGCAGAATTCGAAGGTCCGCCATGTTGGTTCGTGAGAATATGTGCGAGGAGAAGAATCGGCACGAATGCGATTCCGAGATTCGGCGGCGAGAATCGGTCCACAGAGGTTCTCGACTCAAGGTCTTTGTAGATGCTAAGAGAGCAAATAGTTAGTATCTCGTGCAGACACTTGCATTTCGAATGGCACTTACCTTAATTGATTCCTTTGAGAGGAACCAGCTCCGTAAAGAGACAAAAGTTGGTGGTGGACTGAACTAGAATCGAACTGACTCTGCACCTATACTAAACTTTTTCTAACTTTTCAACTGCCCCGCGCTCTGCTCTTTCCCTCAATTGAGCCCCGCGTTGTATGGACCCTCCAGCCTTTCATTACCTACCTATGGCTTATCGTTATCGATAACGCTGACTCAGCGAGCTTGAAGCTGCCGTCCAATCCCACCAGGAGAGCACTTCGGTGAGCTTGGAACTACGTATCCCTTTGAGTTCGACGCAAACGACGTCCTTCACTTATCACACCCTGGAATATTAAATCATATTCCAGATCACTCATAGCTCCGGCTATTCTCTAATATTGATGATCTAAAGTGAAATCTACCAAGTCGCCCATCATGTCTTTCGAACCCGTCATGCCTCCGTTTAACTCGAGCGATCCATCTGCCAACTTCCTCAGCTCCTCCTGTCTCGACTTTCTCCTTATTGAGCTTGTTCCTATGGCCTACCGCGTAACTCATGAGCGAGATTCCATCGCATCAGAATCAAATGGCGCACCCGCAGATACCGCCTCAACTAGCCATGCAGTAAGCTCCAGCGCAGCCGGAATAATGGCTGGKACAGCAACAAGGAAAGATGAGGAAGAGGATATGGACGCAGTGCACTATCGTCTTGAGATGTTGGGGTACAGGGTAGGGCAGGGTCTTGTAGAGAGGTGCGCATCAATGTCTGGAGTTCTCTACGCCGTCATGGCTTACATCGTAACAGATTCTCAAGAGACCGGCCACGATTCAATGACACACTCGACGTTATCAAATTCCTCTGCAAAGATCTTTGGACGCTGGTGTTTGGCAAGAATATTGACAATCTCAAGACAAATCATAGAGTCGGTTTTCTTTCTCTGTCCGGTATGAGAACATTACGCTAATATTGAGCCAGGGAGTATACGTATTGACTGACAACCTATTCCGACCCTTCTCGCGCATGAGCACAGAAGCTGGCGGCCAAGCAATCGTTCGCGCACAACCGGTACGGTCCCAGAAAGCATCAATCTCTTCATGATATGTTCTTATATTGACTTACTACACCCCGCAGTTCTTATGGTTCCCATGCGGTGTCGTACGGGGTGCATTGGCTGCCCTTGGAATAAACACCAGTGTCCAAGCTGAAATCAACGAGTTGCCGGGTGCCGTGTTTCAGATTAAAACCATACCAAACAAGCCCTGAGGGATTTGTCTGTCTAGCTATAATACCACGATACCCTTCTACCAAGCCTTGGCACAGCACACCAAACATCCAACCAACGAGTGCCATGAACGCGCAAGAGCTAAATTTCGCCATGGTTTAGACCAATTCTTGACCAAAACTCCAATCATACCTGCAGCAGTCCCCAAGATTCATCAATATCGGGGCTATAAAGACATCGACCGTAAATCATCGCCCGGAACATTTCACAGCCTGCGCAAAGTCATATCATCAGCAATCGTGCTCATGACTCATATTACTATGTCTAGTGCCATAGCTATGGGCCTCCTCAGGAATGTCCTTGCCTGCTCTGGAAGCCTCTTACTGGGTATTAGGGAAGATATCAAATTGGGGGTATTCACTTTTGGGGAGGGTTGTGGACAAAGCTGACACCCTTGGAGATGTTGCCCTTGAGACCCTCGGTGGCCTTGGCCAGAAGAGCCTTCTCCTGCTCGGTAATGCCCTCCAGTGGGTTTCTGGCCTTCTCGGCGCCGTTGCGCTATGTAATATTAGCACATATCCTATCCAGAAACGAAACAATCTACCACTTACGCCGAGCTCAATGGGAACAGAGAAGAAGTCGGTGCCAGTCTGCTTGGCGATGGCCTCGCCTTCAGGAACTCCGGGAAGGTAGACGTAACTAGGCTCAACGAGTCCCTCCTCACCCTTTACGGCACGGAGAACCTTCTCGGCAAATCTACAGTCATGTTAGTGACTAGGTGGAGCAACATGAAGTGGTTAGGCAACCCACCGGAAACCAGCGTAAGCCATTGACAGAGTGGCGCTGCCAGCACCATCCTTGGCCTTGACGACCTCATCACCGCCGAACTGGACGCGGTTCACGAGAGCATCGTACTTGTCCTTAGGGATGTCAACGGCAGGCGTGGCCTTGCTGAAAAGAGGGACGATGGTCTCTCCAGAGTGCCCGCCAATGACGGGGATGTTCAGCTCTTGGGGGTTAGCCCTGCCAGTGATCTCGGCAACGAAGGTCTCGGCACGGACGATGTCGAGGGTGGTGACACCAAAGAGACGCTGGGGGTTGAAGACGCCCTTGGCCTTGAGGACCTCAGCAGCAATAGGGACGGTAGAGTTGACGGGGTTGGAGATGACGAGGATGAAGGCCTTGGGGGCGACCTCGGCGGCAACCTCAATGAGACCCTTCACAATGCCAGCATTGATGTTGAAGAGATCGTCACGAGTCATACCAGGCTTGCCTGTGCAGGGGATGTGGTTAGTAGAGTGAAAACTGGGGGAGGGGCTCCGGGGTCGGTCGGACACGCGGGGACCAACGCCGGATGGCCGGGGTAAGAGCTTTACATACGGGGAATGCCAGCGGGGATGACAATAATGTCGGCGTCCTTGAAAGCAGCCTTAGCGCCATCGTTGGCGGGAAGGTAGCCAGTTGTCTTCTATAGAGGGTGTGAGCAAATAGTGTGTTTCGGTGGAAGGGAATTATGCATGTTCGACTGGGGAAAATCTGGGATCGACTCACGGCGCGGGAAGAGATGTGGGAGAGATCGGTGGCAACGCCGGGGGTGTTGACGACATCGTAAAGAGCGAGCTCGTCGATATGAGGGGATGTCTTGAGGAGAAGAGAAAGAGGCTGTATATCGATCATTGTCAGTTGGCGTAATTTCAAGAATGAAGTGACTAAGTTTCAGCGTACCTGACCAATGCCACCAGAGGCGCCAGCAACAACTAAAGACAACGTCAGTTATTGCTCTGAGAAGTGCTGAGAGACGACACCCGAGCTGCGAAGAGCGCGAATATAATAGGCAGATATCAAGGTGAAGGAGTGAGTGAGACGACGGTCGTACATACCAGCCTTGACCATTTTGACTGATTTTACAGGTATATTGGGATTGAAGGAGGGGTAGTTGCTCTGTTGAGACTTTGTAGAAAAGCGAAAAGATGGTAAGAGACGAAGAGCTTGGATGGAAGAGTCAAGATGTGGGAAGAATGAGGAGAGTGGGAGGAGGGTCAGGAAGTGGGAGAGGGTTCAAATAAGTAATGTAGAGGAAGAGCCTCGAGGGTGGTTAATGCCTGCGACACGACGGGACGGAGGAGAACAAGCGATGACTGGGCTGCTACTGGCAACCACCACGGCGATACCTGCTGTACTCTACTAAGGTGAGTTAGTTCCAGATCCATTGTGTACAGGGCAGCTCTCCATACAGTAAGGTAAGGTACCTTGAGGTAGGTACGCCTCTCCATACGGGTACCCTTCAAGCCCGCTGAGACACTCCCGACTCCCGATGTACCTAGGTAGGTATTCTAATGGATGTACCTCGAGGTCACCTAGTCCCCTTGCTAAGGCATCATAGCACTGCTCTATTGCATCTATTGCATTACTACAGTGCCCGATTTATTCTCTCCGAGCTGACCGGGAACCTTTACGGCGATTCACGGAGCTGGGCTGGGCTGGCAAATTTACATGTCCGAGATTATCACAGGCGTCTATATTGCCTCCATCTTTTCTGCCGCAGACATGTGCGACAGCCTAGGTGCCAGATGTCGAGCGGGGAAAGCAGCAGAAAAGAGCTGTGCAACTCTATGAGCTCTAGTGGGGGGTTCCAGGAAGAAACCCCTCCTTGCAAGGGTCAATGGCTATCATCGACAATTGAGGGGCAGGGCATCATCCACAGTCCAGAACCCACTGCCCACTGCCAGGCCTATTGAACAGTTGAACCAAGAGGAGCGGCATCATCATCTCGCCTCTCTTTCGCCAGCTCTCGATTGCTTATTACCATCTATCACGAGTTTCAATTTCGAACAATTACGTAGCTGTCCTGATATCGCCCACAGTTTCGGAGACCTTTGATGGGGTTCTGCTAATACTCATGATATTATCTCAGACTACCTACATTCTTACGTACCTATCTTCCATGCCTCCACCATCATGGATTTCTTCTTTCCCTTCACCTATTATGTCTCTCCCCTCTCGCCTGCCCACTTTGACTCGCAAAGGCGATCCGCTCCAGTTGTCAGAGACCTGGCGCAATACTTGGCGCAAAGCCTTGCGCTGAGACTGGTGCGCAAGCGCCCTATGCTGCCGTCGGGGAGCAAGAAAAACATCAGACCTTGATATGGGGTGTCAAAATAAATTCAGCAAAGGAAATCCTAATCTCATACTAAGTCACCTAAGCCTTTTTGTCATTTATGATCAAGGTCCTGGGTTTTCTTTCCTCCCCCTACACAGCTTTACTTTCTCTTTTTGGGGGGATCATTAGGATAGACTATAAATTCTGATGGAGAAACGACATACGATAGCAACGGAGCAACGGGCAAGCCCTGGCCATTTACGCATCAGATTCCCCATCGTCCGCTACATTCGATTGGGTCTCATACCAATCAACATCAATGAGATGTCAATCTTGTTTTGACAGACTATGCTAACAATCACGGACCTGAGTCTGGTTAGCTTCTGGAACCTGAACCCTCACATCCAGCGTCCCGTGGGGAAGGCTGTCAAGGGACCGATGTTCCCCTGCACCTCCAACTCGACAGCTCTGGACAACTCACCGGGCCTGACCGTCGCAACCCCGAGTTGGGAGCGATCTTTACCCCGACCCAACTCCGGTGAGCACACCACACCAGATCCAAACTCAATTGTCCAACCAAGCTCCACAAGCACAATGGAACAAGTCGCTCATGTGAAAGTGTTGGTAATCCTGTCGTGTAAACCCCACCTTGTGTACCTATTACTGGATCTGTTTCTTGCCCTCCTGGGTCTGTGACTTATAAGTGGACAATGCCCTCTCGTTACAAGAATTCACTGTTTGCAGGAAATCAACAAACCAGGTGTTCAAGCCACCAAGATGAGGGGGCGGCTGATCCCTCCCCGTTACCAAATTTGGAAGTTTTGCAAATGTATCTCTGCAGCCTTGGTGGTTGGTTGTTATTAGCTCACTTTGAGTATGAGCCAAGTCATTTGAAACATCATCACGAATCTTCATTGATATCTTGTCAAACAAGTTTCGTCTTTTTCCGATACCTCCGTGGATGGTAGCCTCCAGCATCCGGATGTTGATATGCCTCAAATCGTATAGCAGCCGGATTTTTGTCGTTCAGAAACTGACTTCGGTGGATGACTTGCGTCTATTGCACCAACCATGTTTCGTGCCCTTCATCTCGGTCAGCGTCTGGAGATTAACATGCGTCTAACTCGAGAAAACTAACTCCGGATTGTGGCTACATGAGGCCTTGAGCATCAAAACATTCCGACTTATGATCTTATTGTTCAAAATATTGCTCCGATCTTATCCGGGACAGTGACGTCTTGAATCGCATTCATGAGGATCCTCGGCGCCTTGACACTCGGCATGATCCTCGGTATCCCGTGGTACCGAAGTCATGACCCGAATTCTACCGCTTCGCACTTATACATCCAGACAACATCGTGAGCTTCTACCGATGATCAGAGAACTGGTCAGTGCAGGCTTTGTCCAGACCGGCCATGCCAATCACGATTTAATTATTAGCTGAGACTCTTGTTGTGCTACGTCACTGAAGGTATATCGAAGAGTAGTTGACCATCGAGGGTTCTTGACATGATCTGCATCATACAATCACGAACATACACTTTCTTATACTGAGACACAATTTTTGGGTTGCCGACGATATTGCCAGCGAGATATTCATTCATTTTGAGCTCACTAACTCCAACAGTGAATGACCCAGAGACCTCGGTCCATGTGCTATTCCCACACTGATCGCTTTTTCATCAGTTGTGGGCTACGCAGCGTGCCTCCCTTAGCTTCATGCCCCAGCCTTATTCACAATACATTTCTATCTTGGTATTAGACAGCTTAGTTCTCCTCAGCAGCGGCGGCGGCCTTCTTGGCCTTGTTGCCGCGGAGCTTCTGCTCGGGCTCGGGCTTGACGGGCTTGTTGGACTTCTTGAGGGCGGAGGCACGCTCAACGGCAGCGGAGCGGAGATCAGCACGGTAACCGTTCTTGGCAGCCTGGTTGGCAACAGCCTG